ATTTAAAGTCCCCTGCAAGGACGGTAGGAATATCACTTGGCAAAAAAGCATTTAATACGTTATCACTAAGCCTGTTATTAGGCGGGTTGTATAGAGCACTGAAATAAATATTTTTGAAAACTGGTAGCGTCACACAAACTGTAACTAGTTCACAGTTAAAGTCTCTGCTTTCCTTAATTAAACATGATTGTAACGTGCGTTTAACGTATATACAAACACCTCCACGTCGGTGACTAATTCTATCACACCTGTAGAGTAAATAATTTACAATCCTGAGACGGTGACACTGTTGCGCATGAGTTTCGGTAATCACAGCAATATCAATATCACGATACTGTGTAGAAAATTATGAAGTTCATATAAACGGTTCTGGAGGCCATTGACATTCCAGATGACGAAACGGATAGGTCATTTTCATTCACAGTTCTGGTAGTTTTATCCATGCTGCTGGGCTTTTGTCAGGAAGTGAAGCTTTATCAGTAGTTAATTGCTTGAAGATTTGAGTTATTCCAGATTCCTGGAATGATGGAAACGATGGCCCGTAAGTCACAAAGCACTTTTTAGCTTCCATGAGAGATTCAGGGGCTAATCCAGAGCTTAAGGCTTCAGCGTATGATTTGTTTGTGATGACTCGATCTGTGTTTTAATGGTTTAGGTTGAGAGAAAGTTTTCGTCTTAGGAAATCTTTCACATCCTCTGTAGTTTGCTGTGTGTCCTTCCATAAGGCAATTCGCACACTTTGGGAGGAGTAGTTTTATCTTTTTTTGCATGTGAAAGATTCATGCTCCTCACCCCAGCGAACACAGCGCGGGGCGTGATGACAATTACTTTGAGAGTGGTGGAACCCTTGACAGCGAAAACACTGTAAGGGCCCAGCTCTTCCTTTATAACCTTCGACTTTGATTTTCATTCCAAGCACAAAATGTTCATGGAAAATGGCATTGCTTTTTTTCCTCTCTTTTTAAAGTCACAAGGAACAGTGGTAAATTTATTATTTCTCCGTCACGGCGGACGCTTCATTTGGTTGACTCTGATAACACTATATCCTTTTTCTCTCTGAGTTCTTCCTCTATATCTTTCCGATTTCATATAAGATGGGAGGCTTCTGATGACTGCTTTTACATATCTGGTCTCTGGCAGCTCGTAACAATGATAAAACACACCTTTATCTTTGAGTACTTTAATGATTTGGCGGTAGATGGTAGGATTGTGAGAATGTATTTTAATTCCTCCGCTAATAAACTTATTAGCGGAGGAATTAAAATACATTCTCATTAACAGAGTCCGTAGTAATCTCTGTTAGTATAGAGGACTGTTAGTATAGAGGACTAACAGGACTCCGTAGTAATCTCTGTTAGTATAGAGGACTCTCTGTAAGTATAGGACTAGTTACTCTGTTAGTAACTAGTCCGTAGTAATCTCTGTTAGTATAGAGGTTATATCCGATTAATAAAGCTTTGAGTTGCATGAAATTTTTCCTTTGGTCTTCGGCGGTGTTCTTTTAAACGGTGCTGCATCCAGATTGGCTGCGTCTTGAGCTGGAGTCTCGTTAGAGACCGCTTCCATATTTTCGGAAGTTCCATTTGCAGTCGTCTCCAGAGGCGGTATTCTCGGCGAATCAGAATTATCCGAGGAGTTGGTTTTCCAGACGGGCTTTCTATGCTTGGTTGGTTGGTGTCTCCTCTGGGTCCTGTATCAGAATCGCTGCTATCCTCGTCTAGGGCTTTATATTTTTTGGAGCCTTCCTCATCAGAACGGGCTGTGCTGTTGGCTCGTCGAGCAGCACAGCCGTTTCAGTCGTTTTAGCAGCAGGGATATTAGGCTTCGGTGCAGCGGCGGTTCTTTTCTGGGTGATCTCATTTTCTATGAAAAGTTTTAGTCTTTGAAAAAATAGGAGATCCCTAGCATCTTGTTCACTAAGAGGACCATTTGCTTCCTCTATGCACTGCAGATTCGTAATTTTAGCGCTAACGAAATCAATTATATGTTCCATGATCAAACGATGAGCAAAACAGGTGAAATCAGAGTTTTAGCAACGGCGGCCTACTTTTACAGCACCGTGCACTCTGACTAGGCATAGCAGTTAAACTATAGTACTCGGTTGAAAACACAACATACTCACACGACGGCTAAAGACCAATAAGCATTCTTCTTTTCGACTTTGATACAGATGTATTTATACAGGGGTTCTACTGCATTCGCAGTACTTCCCTGTAAACCTGAAGTTTCAAAATGGATACTTACATACTTAGGTGTGTTATACTGGTTTTCTACTGCACTGAGGCAGTACTTCCCAGTAGCGTGAGAGATGTCCCGAAGGAGCCTGGCAGTAAGGGTAAATCAAGCGGATCCTGTAGTAGGAAACCGTGAAAAGATGCTAAAGAGGGAGAGAGAGAAGCAATGCGAAGTTTCTGAATGTGTCGCCATCTGGTGGCGATAGATGTGGTGACAGAGTTATTTGCACGTGATGAAAAGAATTATTTTTGGTGTATTAATGCAGTAAATAAGATTTTTAATTGACATAAAAAAATTACTTTTATGTAGGTTCCTTTAATGCATGCGCAAGGAAGTTGTGATAATTTCACAAAAATACTTTACGGCTGGGTCTCGAACTGCGTCAAAATGGATGATGATTCAGCTCCCCTTTATAGTAGCCTTATTACAAACAAGCTAATAGCATTCGAAGCTCATAGCTAATTGGTTGAAAACGAACAACTTGCAATTTTTTTCGAAAGGAAGGAAAAAATCACGCGTTTTTTTTTTTTTTTTTTTTTTTTTTTTTTTCAATAGCAAGCCAGGCAGAAAAATTGTCAGAAAGAATTGTTGGTGTCAAACAAATGCGTGCGTGACATGGGAGTATGCGTACCAAAAGGAAGCCACGCCTTAAAAGTAGAAGAAGAAGACGAAGAACTGAAGTTCTTTTCCTCCGAATTTGCTATATAATAGATCGCCAAAGTGTAAAAGCTTGGTTGCCATGCTCACCATATATCGCTCATTTGGCTCAACATACACATTTTATTGAATCATCAGTTGTTTACAGAAGCAACGAAAAGAGAAATTTATTAGTAACAGTACATTTAAGGTAGAACATCACAGTTTTGCATTACATGTTTAAAATCTTTGAAGGGATTTTTTTTTTCTAACTAGATATTCATATTTTCAGTTTTACAAATATATGAATTTTATTTAAATAATACAATTGCAATTTTGAATTTCTTTTAAGAAAAATATATTAATTTATTTGTTTTTAAATAGTAGACATAAGAAGCATATTCTTAATTATTAAACAGTTGGTATCAAGCCTTGTTTTCTAAGCAAATCATGTAAATTAAATGTATATTTTATTTATAAATCCTATAGTCAATATACAATTAAAGGTATTTAAATGAGAAAAACTTATTTTTTGGAATGAGAAATGCAGTATTTATAAAAGTGGTTTAGCAATAAAGAAACTCATTTTCCCATTATTCTTGCAACTTTTGCATGAACCTAATGTAATCTAGCAAAGAGATTTAATGAGGGCTTTTGTTTCTGCCAAATAGAAATAAATTTAAGAGAAATAAAAAAAGTCAGGAAATAAATGGAAAAAAAGTAAAGAAATAAATTATTCAGGACATACTGTACTAATTCAATTAGTTTAAATACATAATTTTTCAGAAATATTCTGCTTTTATATGTCTTATAGATAGAATTATAGTCAGCAACCGAGTGCAGATTTCATAATATTTAGAAGTATGTAAATCTAGATTTTGTTTTTAGCATACATTAACACATAAGTCAAGGTCTTTTTTTTTTTTTTTTCTGTAAAAGGAAGAAAAAGCTGTTGAAACCAAGCTTTTAATTTGGCTAAGACCAAATTAAGAATGCTTAAATTTTGGGTGCTTTACTTTCATTTCACTTTTGTATGATTACCAGAATCTACTTTAACATTAGATTTAATTGTAAGATGTGTTTGCATAATCAAGCATATTTTGAGATCCCTTATATTCATTATGCACTGTTTAAGTTAAACAATTCTTATTTTTTTATTGAAGTATAAAGTATAAAAGAAGTTATGAAAATTCTGTAAGAATAATTTTTCAGCACATATTTTATGCTGAAGTCTACAGTAATATTACTTTTGCATACTTATTAGATTTCACTGTTGTGCACTTGAATTTACAAAAAGGTATTAAAATATTAAAGAAGAGGAAGCTATGGTAGTATATGGTTGAGATAACAGTGATAAAAATCAAAAATTACAAACTTAAATATCTATATGGATATGAATATCCAATTTTGAATTTTGTATGGCTAGTAGATCTCTGAAAAACAAATGAGAAGTCATACTAAAAAAATGGATTTTATTATTCCTTTAAATTACATTTTTTAATCCTAATTCATAAAATTCTTTTAAAAATTTAAAAAAAAAAAAAAAAAAAAAAAAAAAAAAAACAATGAAAATACATTACAAATTATGCATTAGAATTTAAAATTTGCTTTAAACAGTTAAACTGCCCCAAAAATATACTAATAATAAAATATTTAAGTATATATATAAATATATATAAATAAATATTTTTAAGTATAGTACATTTAAAATTAAGTCCATGGTTTAAACACATAAAGAATTTCAGTGCATGCATTTTTACATTATCATACAGTACTAAATCAGAAGCACAATATATACAATAAGACTGATCAGAAAGTAATGTTTAGAAGTACACTAATATACATTCTAGAAATTTTGCAGATTAATATTATTTTGACGTAAAGCACTTCTTATTTATTCTGATAAACTCTGTTTCAGTTCACAGAAGGGAAAGAGATCTCATAGAAAGTATATAAAATGAAAATATTTAAATTAGTAATATAAGAGTGCTACATATGAATAAAATATGCACATAATAACATAAATATGATCAGAGATTAGTTTCTCCCAATTTAGTAGAAGAAATCTACTTCGTTCCCCCAGCTTTTTTCCATGAACTACTGTGAAAGAGACTTGTACACTCTGACTATCAAATGTCCTTGATGGCATATTGAGAATCATTAGGTTGTATATATTTATCACCTGCCAAACATTCTTCTTCTAAGAAATTGTACATAAATCTTCTAAACTCAAAAGTATTCAGATTGCATGCTATATCAAGATTATTTTTAATTTTATAAGCATAAAAGCATACAAACAAACCACAGCTCATATTGTCATTTTGGTTTACATGTAGTGGACTTGACATTATCCAGTCTTCTGTCATCTTAAAAAGATTCTTTAGCTCTTTTTCCAACAAACTGAGTATGTGTTTGTAACGTTTATTATCCTGTACATTTGTGACACCCTGAGGATCATAAAATTCAAGTTTTCTCTTTTTCACCTTTGCAACTATCGAGATCCAATGATCTTCAACATTAATAGGGATGAAAATTATTTCCACTGTAGTTAGCTGAACTTCACTCCATATATTCATTACTGAATTGCTCATCAATATATATTGTGCATATGGTAACATTTAAAAGCCGATGATTTTGAATGTAAAATAATACCGAAAAAGGCATCTGTATTGCTATAATAAAGCCAGCCAGTTCTAAAATTGCAAGATATGGCACTTAAAATTTCAACTATTTCGGGTGGTCTCATACGATCGAAAGATTTTACTTCCTAATAAATTTAAAGATATATCAACAAAATGTAGTATGCAACTCCTAACATAAAAAAGCATAACATAGTTTCGGAGTAAAGGAAAATGGATTGTTGTATGCACCAACTAGCCCCTTTTTGTATGAAGTTTTTCGTTTATATCATCAGCATCAGAACTAGAGTCTTAACAAATTTTCGCTGTTGGAAATCGGGATAATTCAGTTCCTTACATTTAAGATTTTTACTTTTAGGTGGAATATTTGGCATTTAATATGTAACATCTTCAAGGTGAGTGTATTGCTTTACACCTTTGCAATCTGCTACCAGTTTCTATAATATTCTGGTAATATGTGGCAATAAAACTTTTTGAACTGTAGAATCTTTTATTAAAATCAGTATTTCTGACGTGTAATTTTTACACACTTCAAATTCATTATTGATAGAAGACAAAATATTTTGAATTTTAGCAAATCTTGGGGGTAGAAGTCTCTGGGAGTAGTCATCATATATGAAGAAAAATTCTAATTTTCTACATTTCATTGAATTAATTTTGTTTATATGTTTCCATAATAGATTTATTTATATTTGGGCCATTGCAGTAACAGAGATGACTGTACATATTAAAACAAGATATTTCCATATATTTGGAAAAACAAAAATTATCTCAGCATTCATATTTTAGCTGTGCGACTGTATCTGTATTCGACTGACATGCTACCAATCATTTTCAAGCTCCAATTTGATTCTTATCATTTGGAATTTTCATCTGAAATGGGCTTTTTAACTTTCTGAATCACAAGAACTATATAGAAAATAATGAGAACTAGCAAGTCTGCCCCAGGAACAGAATTAAAAACTTTTAAATCCTGCTCTACAGGACATCCCAGCTAGCTGTTCAAAACAATAAAAGGAAAGCTGTTTTTTTTTTCGTGAATAAAACTCCAATTCAAAGAGAATATTTGAGAAAGAGATGACACATCATAGAACAGCCATAAAAATAACTCATTTAAATTTCTCATAAGCAAGATAAGACAATGAAGAAAGTAATGCAAAATTTAGGTGTTGTTGAAATGCCTAAAACAGGTTGGTGTAATAAGTGAATTAACTTGTGAGAAATGCCTATAACAGGCCTATTCTCACACGTTAATTCACTTACTACATCAATAAAAAATTGTAGGGAGATAAAAAGATTAAAACTTTTGATCGGGTACTTCATAAAAACAATTTCAAAAAATTCGAAACGAAATACAAATAATAGAAAAAGGTAAAACAAATGAAATATCATATATATTTTGACATACAATAGATTAATTTTTACATACCAGTCAGTAAAACAAATACGCAATCGCAAGGAAACAGAGTACAGAAACACAACTAAATATTTCACCAAGAAAAGGAAAAATCTGAATAATTCAAAGAATTTTTATTGAATAAATTACATACAGATATCACGAAGATAAATTGAAAGAAATCAATAATCATCATTCTATTGATTAATTATATTAAAAAATAAATCAAAAGAGTACAAAATTGAGTAAATTTAATTAATATAAAACAAAAGGCAATGGAATAGATAATCATGCCAATATGATTTTCAGTTTATATCAAACAATATTTGAGTAAAAAATTAGAAATATAATCAAATTCTCAAAACTGACACCCACGCTCTAACGCAACAGGTAGAACTTTGCAAACACCTTTGGAACTTTGTTGTTAAGCAATTGATTCAAACGACACCAAATTTGCCTAAGTAACAGGGTTGCCATTCACATTTCCTTTATCTATTATGTGCAAAGCTAATTTCGCGGTAAATTTAATAAAAGTACTTTTCTTATTGTTGTTATTTATCGCGAAAGTTTTGATCATGCGTATATTGGGGTGATTTTTGGTAGTGGTAGTACTAAAAAAATTTGTTAATACACTCACGTTTGTGAAAATTGCAACACCATGAAGGACTTACGCGAGTGAGCTGAAATTTTCAGGAAATGCAAAGTAGCGCATGATATGCAAATGATTAGAATTGCAAATCCGTAGCGCATGCGTATGCTGAGCAGCGCCCTCTGAACGGCTGATGGATCCGAATAAATAGACGGTTGTAGCGAGGCGTGTATGGTTATCGGTGGTTATCTGCTAGTGGTAAACGTTAACTCAATCTGTACTTATGCCTCGTCGACGAAAGAGAGCGAGATTTGAACAACTTACAGAGTTTGAACGAGGGAGAATCATCGGCCTTCGTGAAGCTGGATTATCGTATCGTGCAGTAGCCTCTCGTGTGCAGCGTAACAGCCGCACAGTGATGCGCGTTTGGAAGCAGTGGACGGACGAGTGTCGGACAACTCGGAAATCCGGGAGTGGACCCCGAAATGTGACGTCAGCTCGCGATGATAGACACCTGGTCCGCATGGCGCGGACGGACCGTACAGCTTCCTCTAGACAATTGGCAGCACTGTGGTCAATAGCTACAGGTGTTTCATTGTGTGCTTCAATTCGTAGACGTCTGCTGCAGTGTGGACTGCGCGCACGGACTCCTTTATACAGGATCCCCCTAACGCACGACCATCGCCGCCTGCGGCTACAATGGGCCAATCAGCATAGAGACTGGCGTACTGATTGGCAGCATGTCATGTTTTCTGACGAATCCCGCTTTAATTTGTGGTACCATGATGGCCGCATTCGTGTCAGACGATATGCCGGTGAACGCCACCTTCCGGAGTGCATTATCGAACGCCACAGTGGACGAACACCCGAGTTATGGTCTGGGGCGCCATAGCATATCATAGACGATCTCAATTGCTACGAATTGTGGGCAATCTGAACAGCAACCGGTATATCCGTGAAGTTCTACAGCCCGAAGCTGTTCCCTTCCTTCAAAGCTTGCCAGGCGCTGTATTTCAACAGGACAATGCCCGCCCTCATACTGCTCGGATTGTTAAATCCTTCTTTGCAGCGCAGCAGGTACAGCCAAAGAATCTGTGGGTACAGCTTCTTCCTTGGCCTGCGTGTTCCCCGGATATGTCGCCAATTGAACATGTGTGGGATGTCATTGGTCGGCGTCTTGCTCGTGATCCTCGTCCTGTTGCGTCTGCAGACGAACTTTGGGTACGGGTACAAACGATATGGAATGCTCTTCCTCAGTCAGACATTCAAACTTCATGTCACGTCGTGTAGCAGCACTTATTGCGACGCGTGGTGGCCACACAAAATACTGATTCTGATCTCTTGTTCTTGTTTGTTTGCTTTGAACATTTAATCATTTATTTGTACCACTACCACTCAACTGTGTATTAAATTGCATTCAATTATGACGATTCCTTCTTGGTGTTGCAATTTTCACAAACGTGAGTGTATGTTTTCAGAATTCTGATAATTTTGTGTTACATTTTATGCTTATGAAATATATTACATGATATTCGAAAGTTGATTTTAGGTATCGTTAATTAAAATCGTAGTTTTGATATGAGCGATTCTGTTTTGTGACATTGTTAACAAGGTAGGTTTGAAAAATAGTTTGAAATATAGAATGTTGCTATTTTGAAATAACCCTTGTTCAGTTTTTTCGAGACTTTTTTTTTTTTTTCTATGAATGGCTGTACAAGTTCTTCCGTTCTTCTAAAAAATTCTTGCAAATAAATAGGCTGACAGCCAATATGTGCTTTAATTCATCCATTAAAGGGAAAATCATACTTTCTTATTGCAAAGCAAACCTTTTGTATTTCAAGGGTACTTAGTAGAATTTGTTGGCAAGGAATGGTTAACAGTTTTTATACAAAATATTAAAATAAAAAATATTTATGCAAAAATTTCCATGAATGATAACTTCAGATTTATGAAGCCTTGGAGACAATGCAATTCCGTTCTTCTAAAAAATTCTTGCAATAAATAGGCTGACAGCCAATATGTGCTTTAATTCATCCATTAAAGGGAAAATCATACTTTCTTATTGCAAAGCAAACCTTTTGTATTTCAATTATTTTGTATTTTGTATTTCAATCATTTTGTATTTCAATTTTATTAATGTAAATTAATACATTACTGAAGCAAGTCTCAGGTGAAGAGCGAGGCAGAGAGTGAACCTGCAAAATTTTAGAAATTAAATTATGAAAAAAATTTAAATTTCTGTTTTTAAACATACTGAGAAGCATGATTTTAAAATATTGCATTTAAAGTACTAAAAATAGTGCTATGTTCTTGAGCATGCCCATGTGCTTTTCTTTAATTAATCGAAATCAAATTGAAAAATTAGTGTTCAAGATTTTATATTTTACATGAGATAGAAAAATCAGTATTACTTTATATTCTTTACAAATTAAACTCAAAATTGTTGCTTTATATTTATATTTAGTTTTATTTAATTGCAGCAAAGGTCTCCAGGGCTATCTGCCTAAGGAGAAGGATGCCTTCGTGAAGCAATTTCTAAGGGAAATTGGGTGGAATTGGAAAACAACAAAACTCCTTGCTGCCAGCCCGTTCGCTAGAACCGAATTACCTGTGTTAAGTAACTTCACTGCTCTGCCACTCGTGGTGTTATATTTATGTAAGTACATAAGATTTATACACATCCTATAAGTAAATCACTTTCAGATTTTTATGCATGTCTGTTTGTAAAGTTTAATAATGCAACAAAAGAGAAAAGAAATTTTATTTATCTTTCTTGCATTATTAGAGTTTAATAATGCAAGAAAGATAAATAAAGCACTGCAGTCAGAAAACTTTTTAAGCTGCATTCTTAATAGAGTGATTAGTTTAATCTTGAATCCTAGCAAATGGGTTTTATGTATGGGGGTTTTCATGGTTTTCCCCAAGTGCAATGTCAATTTACTCCAAAAGTTTTTTCACAAAGAAATCCCTTTTCTTAAATAGCCCTGGTATTTTCCATATTGAATTAAACAAAAGAGTAATTGGTAGATTTTTTTCAACTCTCTCAGAAAATATTCTTGAAAAATGGGAAAATTTAGCTTTAAAGTTGAGTAAATCCATAGAATAGGAAGAAAAGTGAAAAAAGGTTTGTAAGTCAGATTGCAAAGCATCAACTGATAATAGGACTAATTTTTCAAAAGAAAACTTTTTTATAATGGGAATGATAGATGGATGTTTCAGTCTCGTAACTAAAATGGAGATAATGAAAAATTATACAAGATAGTTTTTGATTTAAAATTTCTAATCTGGGAAAAATTGATGTCATTGAATTCAGGCATGATGAATGGAGCAGTTTAGCACCTAAAAATTATACTATTTTAATAATTCTAGTAGCTACAGCAGAATTATTTTTTGAAGATAATTTAGAAGTAATGTTTAATACAGTCAAAATTCAGTTGTGGGATTATGAAAACATTTTGATGCTGCAATTGTTATTGTGTAATAAAGCTTATAAAAACTTTCATAATAATAAAAGTTATGCGTGATTTAGTATAATTACCTTTATTGAATATGAAAGTGTCACTTAATTTGATTACACAGGGGTACACATTGGCCTCTGTGGTTCAGGCAAAAAAACGTGGGCAGGGCTCTTCATTGAAGAAATGTTCCAACCTTTTTTTTTTAAATTTTTTTATTGTTTTACTTTAGTATTATTTAGTATATTGCAACTTTAACAAAGCACACACATGAAAAAAAAAAAAAAAAAAAAAAAAAATTCTGGGCTGCAAAGTTATGTTCCTTCTTAAATGATTAAATAAAGCTTTAAATTTAATTTTATCAAGTTTCTGCACAAGATTTTTGTGATGAATATTACATTTTGTATTGAAAGCAAATATACATCCTTCTGTATTAAAGTGTATTTCCATATTATTTACATTTCCGCTTAAAATATTTTTATTTAATTTCATTACTCATATATCGATACATTTTTGGTATTTGTGTAGAACTGACTTAACCCCTTTGTGATGAGCATCTCAGTCACCAAAGCGCTTTCTTGGGACGGCATGCTAAAAGATCTTGTTGGGTGGAGCAATCTGCACTGTTGTTCCAATTTTTGCAACATTATCAGAGGGACACCCAGGTAGTTGTCAATTAATTCGAAAACTTTATTATTTTATTTTACTTGCCATTTAAAGTGTAAGAAATGTTTCACTAAGCAATATACAGCTAGTACTCAATTTTCATACATAATTGGTGTGCGAATATTGAATGTTCAAACTTGATGAGAATTGGCGATTTTTGGCGGTACATGGACACTGAGTTTGTGCAATTCTTTGACTTGTTATTTTGGTTTTGTGTAGCTGTGATTTTTGCACCAAAAATTGCTGCTATACAAATCCAAAATACCAAGTTAAAGAATTGCACAAACTCTGTATCCATGTACACATCGCCCTATTTTCACGTAAAAAAAAAAAAAAAAAAAATCGGAGAATTGCACAAAGTAGGCATTGTGCACTCCCTTGACTTTGTCCATGTACACATTGACCTATATTCACTTAAAGTCGAGGTAGCAGCCAACAAAATCTCTTAATATAGGCCCACCTTCCTTGCCTATTGCCTTGATGGTCTAATTCATTGTCGGTTATGTAATATCATTTATTACTGTTTAATAATGATGACTTATAATACTGTCTATCTTTGTTTCATCTATGGCTGTATGAGGCAGGTAGTATTGGGAAGAAGGAAATACAACATAAATTCTACAGAGGGTCCTACCAGCACTGTTTGAGATTACTAATGCTTTAAACTTAAAATTTTTATTTTTACAATGCAGTACAAATAATCCGGTACAACAGTATCGGTACAGTACAACATAAATCTATCCGGTACACTACAACATAAATCCATAATCCGGATCTCAAAGCTGCAAACTTTATGCGAATGCATAATGCATTTACGCATGCGCATAATATGTTTACGTATGCGTGTTTAATGTGCGCATCTGCTACGCATGCGCGTAAAGAGAAGAGATACTGTTTATAGAAGAGAGAATTAAAGAGAAAGTATTAGTCAAAAGTCGTTAATCCGGACTCGTCGGGACTTCGACGATTCCGGATTATAGATCATCAGTTTAAATCTGGTAAGATGGCATGCAGATATTATAAAATTAAAAATGTGAAACCGTAATTTATGAAATAAAGAACAATTATGATCCAAAGGGTATCAAAATTTACAAAAAGAAAGCTTAATATTTATTTGTTTACTTTATTAAACATTTCTTCAATGCAAGTTGTTTAAGTTGCTTCGTTTCATGTGATAATACTTTCTGTTTGATTTTATGTGATAATACTTTCTCACCTCCCAAAAATTTGGTTATGCAACATTTGTATCACTCAAAAAAGCAATCAAATATTGTTTTGGGGGTAATTTTTTTTTAAACATGCTTTTCCAGCACAGTTAAAGCTAAGTAATTTTATTTACTTATTACAGTACATTTACATTTATTACAGTGCATTCACATTTGTCTGCTGTATCTTATCCTTTTGTTTATAAATCCTTACAATGGAAAGTTTGCTGTAAGATTTTTACTGAGTTTTGTATGCCTGGATTTTTAACAAAAATTGTTTTGCCTCCTAAAGTAAAGGGACCTGTTTCCGCTCTGCACCGGTTCGCTCCTGCTTAAACATGCTTAGTGCAGAGACCTGATCGACAAAGGGAGACATTGAGGACAGTACCTCCCAAGCTCATGCCGTCCAGAAGCCCAGACCTCCAAAGCAGCTGGATTACAGCACCACGCCGCCGATGCCGGTGAGTAAAGGGCCTGTATCTGATCATGCTCAATATTGACAGAATTTTAACGAAAATCTCTGTGAAACTAAGGTTGCTTTTTTTATGCGATTTAAAATTTTACACTGCTTCCATTTGATGGTGTTAATCACAAACCTACTATGACTACTGTTTGATTTTTCAAGGTAACTGAATTTGAGTCAGTCAGTCGTGATGTCAGTCACGTCCTGTCACGTTCCCTGGAACCTTGACATAACTCACTCATTCATTTAAATATAGCCAACAATCATATAATGTAAACATTTATTAAGGAAGAAAAAGCTGGATAGGTTTCAAATCCATCTTATGATACTAGATTGCTATCTTTCTGAGTTCCAGAGAGAAATCATGGTGACGCATCATTTTGCTTGTAGTTGTTAGGCACATACAAAGTATGTAATAAAGGTAGTTATGTATTATGGCAGCCACCTTAATATGATGTATAATTTTGATTGTAGCTGCTAGGCATGAACATTGCACAAAAAAAAAAAAAGGGGGGGGGGGGTAAGAAAGAAAAAAAGGGGACATTTCTATATCTCTCGTTCTACTGGGCCGATTGACGAAATTCAACTTGTGTTTTTTATATCTCGAAAGCACAACTTAATATGTACATTAGATTTATGTATAGCATTGTTACTAGTATGGGTATTTTGACACAAAATCGGGCCTTTTCTGAAATGACATGCCATGTTCTTCCATATTTCGATTGTACGACTTAAATTATGTCAAACTGCCAAGTTTTGTAAAAATCGCACGAGTAGTTTTTAAAAAATTAGGTCTCAAAATTTTAGGTCCTCCATGTTAATTGAATTTGGTGTATATTTATTAATATTTTATTTTTTATTGAACTTACTTGACTTCTTGTTTTTTTACATTTCGAAATTTAGGTTTATTCCAAATATAATTAGCTCATTTTTTATGAATTATTTTTAAAATTTGTATTTTTAAATAATTTTTGTAAATTTTTTGAAAAAATTTTGAATTATAATCTATAAAATGTTTACCATTGTCTTAAAGTAGATGAGCATAAGGGCAAAAAATTAGAGTTTTTACTCAAAATTTCCTAAGATATATGTGAAAATTACATTTTGGCATGTTTTAAAATTTACTGTATTTACTACAGTCAAAAGTCGTTAATCCGGACTCGTCGGGACTTCGGCGATTCCGGATTATCGATTTTCCGGATTATAGATCATCAGTTTAAATCTGGTAAGATGACATGCAGAAATTACAAAATTAAAAATATGAAACCGTAATTTATGAAATAAAGAACAATTATGATCTAAAGGGTATCAAAATTTACAAAAAAAAAAAAAGCTTAATATTTATTTGTGTACTTTATTAAACATTTCTTTCAATGTAAGTTGTTTAAGTTGCTTTGTTTCATGTGATAATACTTTCTCTAATTCTATTAAACACACATAATTTCTTGTTTAGTTACAAAGCTCCGCTGTTCAAGTCGTATAATTGGTGTGTCGAGAATACAGACTAATTTGTCAAATGAAATTTTTTCGTTTTCAATAACCTCTGTACTTTCTTCACTATCGGAAGCGAATTATAATGATGAGGAACTTGTTTTAAATCATATCAAAGACAGAGTACATTGAGATGAAATACTACATTTAGTAAGGAATTATAAGGCAAATAAAATAAAAACATCTGCCTTGAAGATAAGGATAGTGCTGACAGATCAACTTCCAATTCATTGCGCGCCACGGCGTTCCCCCCGCCAAGCAGCGTGAAATTGATAAACAGATTTCGGATTTCGAAACATACTTTCGCTTTAGATCCTTTACATATTAGCAAATATATATCGGAAATTCTATTTGATATAATCAAAAGTTCAAGCTTACTTTTATAAAAATTCTCTAACAGTCTGCAAACGACAATAAGCCGGATCCAATTCGAAGATTAAGGAACAATGCAATCTGCAACATTAAATGAATTAGATAATTTTAGCTTAGCTTATACCATGCATTTATACATTAAACACACATGCGTAAACGTTTTATGCCACGCACACACGCATATTCACAGCTGTAAAGGTCTTACGCGCACACGTAAATGCGGATGCGTCAATGCCACGCATGCGCAGAAAGTTTGTAGCTTTCAGGTCTGGATTATAGATCATTCCGGTTTATGGGTGTCCAAATTAACGACTTTTGACTGTATAAGCAATAATAAGAAAAATGTGATTTACACACTTTGTTAAAATTATTTAAAGGATGAACAATAGACCTTTTTTTCCTCTCGTGCATCAATGAAAAAAAGGAAAGTAAGTAGGTTACTATAAATTAAGAATTCCACCAAGTGAATTAATTATTCTTGGCGGAAATTGAAAAAATTTCTCCAAGATAAATGCTTGAATTTTTCTGTAAGTTTCGTACCAAATTTTACAAAATTTAATATTTAGGCATAATTTGAGTCATACATTTGAAAGATTGAAAAAAAAAATGGCATGTAATTTCTGAAAAAGTCCGATTTTATATAAAATACCCATGTTAGAACAATGCTATATATAAATCTAATATATATTCAAAGTCATGCTTTCGAGACATGAAAAACGCAAGTTGAATTTTGTCAATCGGCCCAGTAGAAATGTCCCAATTTTTTTTTGTGTAGTGTACAAGGGTACCTAATAAAGGTAAATGCATATTATCAGAACCACCTTAATAATATGTATCATTTTCTTTGCAGCTGTTAAGCATGTACAAGGTACCTAATAAAGGAACAAAATTCTGTTGAAATTTCAGCAGGAATATTTTATTTTGCCACAAATTTACTCAAGGGAACAATAATAAGATGCATTTCGTATATAATTGGTTTGCAATACCGACTTTGTGAAATTCTGTGATTTTTTTCAATGAACAGCATTAACAAATAAAGGAAGATTTTTAGACAAATAAAGGAAGATAGACACATGTTATATTCTTAAAATGTATCATGTAATTCTTATTAAGTAATTAAAATTTGTATTTAAAAAACTTTATGTATGTTTTCTTTTAATATGTTGATAATATCTGCCAGTTTATGGTAAATATCTATAGTTTGGGAATAATTAAAAAAAAAAGTCCCGAAATTCGCCAACTGGCACCCCATAAGTAATTTTTACCCTTTCATCTGTAAAAAATAGTGAAACTGCTCCAAGGTAGTTGTGTTGATACATAAGTACCCTTAAAAATGACCCAATACTGGCATCTTGGAAGTTGATCTGTCAGCACTATCCTTATCTTCACGGCAGATGTTTTTATTTTATTTGGCTTATAATTCCTTACTAAATGTAGTATTTCATGTCATGTACTCCGTCTTTGCTATGATTTAAAGCAATTATAGGAATTGAACAGCGGAACTTTGTAACTAAACAAGAAATTACGTCTGTTTAATAGAATTAAAGAGAAAGTATTATCACATGAAACGAAGCAACTTAAACAACTTGCATTGAAGAAATGTTTAATAAAGTAAACAAATAAATATTAAGCTTTTTTTTTGTAAAATTTGATACCCTTTAGATCATAATTGTTCTTTATTTCATAAATTACGGTTTCATATTTTTAATTTTATAATTTCTGCATGTCATCTTACCAGATTTAAACTGATGATCTATAATCCGGAATTGCCGAAGTCCCGACGAGTCCGGATTAACGACTTTTGACTGTAATAACAACATTAGCCAAATGGCAAAAATGTTATGTATCATCAGAACCAATATAGTTCGCATAATTATCTCTGTTTAAATAATAGTCATTAATTAATTTTAATGTCACTTAGCTACTTGCACAGGGCCATTTTTTAAGTTTACTTCATGATAGTTTAGTAAATGGAACTATTAACTGAAATGTTTTGAAGACATTAAAAAAAGAATGTGAATGATCAATATGAAAATTTTCAGAGTGGATTTTTATGTATAGTTATATTAAACTAAATGAAATAAATCATTAGACTATAATGCAGCAAACTGAGTTAGTTTAATGTATTTTCTTATGTTATACCTTGTTTACTTTTGTAGGTTTCATATTATTCCCAAATGAAGTTGGATCTTCCAGATCATATGCTTTCATTCCAAACTTTATATTGAACTCAACTTAACTCAGTTATTGATTTTGTGTCTTTAAGATTTCTAGTAAGTTTACTTCTTTTTTTTTTTTTTTTTTTTGTTGCTTAATTAGTTGGATGAACCAAATAAATGTTTCGTCACTAATATTTTGACAAGAAATGAAATTTATCAGTATGCAAATGTAATACATTGCATTTTGAAAGAAAGATGTAATTAAATTGTCAGGTATGAAAAGGTATGTTAAAAATGTTATATTTTACAGGAACAACAAAAAACGATTCCCTCTCCCCAAGAATACCAGAAGTCAAAAACAAATAATTATGAGATTGGTATAGGATCCAAGTGATCCAGCATCATTTAAACAATTTAGTTGTTCATGGACTGCCTTTCCATAAAATTAAAAAAAAAAATAAATAAAATAAATAAATAAACCTATCTCCTTTTTACAAATTGCAATATTTTTTCTTCCCAGATTGATCACAAAATAGAAAATTATGAAAAAATTTATTGCTCTTTCTAAAAACCCAATGTCACGTTAAAAAATATAGATTTAGAAAAACATTGTTATAAAAACTAGGTATAATCTATCTGTTGTAAATTATAAAATAATAAATAATAATAGCTTAAAATTTAAATTGTATTTAAGTAAACAGACTTAAAACTAGTAAAGAGCTGTTAAAAATATAATAAACAGTAAGTAGGGAAAAAAAAAAACAGGAGTGTTCCGAACTATAATGAAACCTTTATAATCTCTTTTGCCATACTTCTAGTTGCTTTCTATTCCTGTTGTCAGCCAGTGCATGCTGAAGTTTTGAATGTCTGTATGTTGATTCAGTCTGTGAATGCTCTTTTGAACATCCATGATCTTTTTTCCATTAATGAAATCCTTACCTTCATTAAATGCTGTTTGACAGGGTCATGTCAGTGCTGCAAGATTATCTGAGGGTAAACATGTGTTGTCTCTAACCGCGTATGAAAAGAGATTCCTTGACTTTACATGGATCACAGATGACGAAATGCGATATTAATGATATTGTGAAGGTTACTTTAGCTTCATTTCTGATATGCCTGCTGTAGCTTTCATCTTATACCCTTGACATTTTATAGACAGCAGTCCCTGACTTCTTGATTTGATCAGGGCCTGCTCGTATTACCTTAAATTTTGCTTGACATCTTTATCAGTTCTTCATATTCTTTTAACTTGTAGACGCGATCAATTCTGATGATATTGCACTTGACTGTTCTGAAATATATATCCCATGGGAGAACCCAGTGACCCTTTATCGACCATTTTGTGTTTGACATTTTAGCTGTTTTTACAAAGAAACGTTTTTGTGGTTCACTTTTAAGCCCTTGATAAATGAGAAATGATCAATATACACACTGGTGCAAAAAACACTGAGGAGAACGTTTAAATGTGGGAGTTATGGGTGGGGGCAACACCAGCAGTTGGATACCTTTATTTGCAAAATATATTAAACCACTTTACAACAAAAGGAACTCGGTTAAAAAATTACAAAAATCCATGCTTAGATTTTGTCTTAGTCTGATTGTCTTGAAAAAAAGCTTTCAGTTATGGTTTATTGATACTCAAGGTCTACACAGTCAAACCCATAGCTAGGGTTTTCAGCGCCCGGGGACAACTGTAGATTTTGCACCCCCTTCTGGATTGAAAACATTCTATTCTAAAATTTCTTAACTTCAGTTTGTCAATATAACACTTTTAAAAGTTTATTTTTATATTTGATTTGGTATTCTTAAAGGCATGTTAAACTAACTGAAACAAATCATTAGATTTCTGCTGTTCTGAGTTTAATAATCAAGTTAAAAAGAAAATCTGTATTTGTATGATACATTCCTTCTGGTATGTAAAGTTGGCTTGAAATGTCTTTAAAGCAAAATTCCATCTTTATAACCTAGCATTTTTGAGCATTGCTAGGTTAAAAATTCTATAGCATTTGACCTCTCTAATTTCTGGAAAAGTGTTGAAGTAGCATCACATGCTTTTATTTATATCATGGTATAATTTTCTTGTGATTTAGAGAACTTTCTCCTTGTAATTCACTGGAGTTTTCTTTATTTGTTCAAATGAAAAGATATGAAACGACGTTATGAGTAGAATTGAAGTCTTTTATTTTGCAAATAATCACCACAAGCATGAGCACAACTATCCCACTGTTTCACGAGCCAAAAGGACCCACTATACCCTCAATTCCTTTGGCTGTGACAGAAGTCAAACTTCCACTGCATCCTTTAGTTTGTCATCTGAGTTGAAGTACTTTCTTTTGAGAGTGTTTTTAGTACTAAACACATAGAAATCACAAGGCAACATGTCCAAGGAAATGCTCAAGCTACTCCCACTTGAACTTGGCCATTACATTTTGTGTGACTGTGGAGATGTGTCAAGGCATGTTATTGTGGAGTAGAATCACTCCCACCAGGAGCAGCACAGGCCATTTGTTCTTGATAGACTTACATAGCTTACAGAGTGTCTCACAGTACACATCACTGTTAATGTTTTTCCTGTGCTTGAGGAATTCGATAATATCAGACATTGGACGTCGAAGAAGATGGTGAGCATTACCTTGCCTTGCCAAGGGCATAGCTTTGAATTTTTAGGGGAAGGTTATGATGCATGCTATCCTGCTTTGGCTGGAAGTGATGGCACGAGCTCTCGTCTCCAGTGACGATTCGCTTGAGGAAAGTGGGGTCTTCATGATATCGGAACAGACGTTACAGTGCTAGCCTCATACTCAGTTTCTTTTGAAGTTCACTCAGCTTCTTTGGAAACCACTGACCATCCAGTAACACAAACTATCATGCACAATTTTCCACACTATTCCAGCACTGGCCCCCACCAACACCATCTCATAGAAAAAGGCCTGAGCACGAGTGTCTGACTGGTTAGTAACATCACGAGCAGAAAACCGATGCGAAGAGGCCGAAAACTTCTGCCACAACCATCCAGCGATGATGCACGTTTTTGTTATACTCTTGCTTTTTAAATTCATATTCTATCTTGCATTCAGAGCCTAATTTTAAATTAAAAATTTTTAAGCTCTGGAAAGTTGTTCAGAAATTATGAACAACTAAAACTATAAATACTGTGTGTAATTTTCACCCTAAATCCCCAGACACTTGCTTATCAAGCAATGTATGAATAATTAAACTAAAATATGAAATAAATTCTAAATAATAATAAATTAATTTAATTAATGATAACTATATGTATAATTTAAATAATTATAAATAATGATAATATGCTCCGAAAATTAATGAAGAAATAAACAGTGAGAAAATTACTGATATTCAGAAATGATACTACAAACAACTAGGATGAAAGAACAGTAAATACTTTGGGCAGCATTTACTTTCCCTGACATATATTTTTCATTCACATATTTTGGAGAAAATAGATAAAAGAATTTTATCACTGAAGCATTAAATCAAACACTAAAATTTTTTAAATTCAGTAAATGCAAAGAGGCTTGAACAGTATGTATGTTAAAAAGTCTATTCAAATTTGAATTTTTAACTGAAATTTTTTTTAAGGAATTTTTTTAAGAATTAATGAAACTATCACTTCAACTGGAAGGCAAAAATAAATTGAAAATTTGCACTGTACTGTAACACGCAAAATGAAAAAATAAAGTTTAAGACATAAAAAGTATTCTACATTGCATAAAGATTTTATTTTTGTTGTCGCACTTTTATAAATAAATTTTTACTTCTGTAGATTAAGTTTAGAATTTCAATGAATTCCAAAGTTTCCAGTTTATTTCTTCTGCAGTTGCAGTTTTAAATTTGTTAATTTCTAGTAAGATTTTATTTCTTGCATCTTTTTTTTTAGCTTATATAATGATTGCTTGCCATATTGATTTCTTATCCTGTACGTAGGAAGTGATCAATAATATATTTACATTATAAATATCTTTATTACTATATATGGATTATTAGGGTATAAAATACTGCAGATAATTTTATAGTATTCACTTAACAAAACATATTTGAGAAAAATACCTTCCAGAAAGAACATCGTTTCAATTTTTTTATTTTTGATGAATGATGATGACCTTTTGATGAATCGGTTAAAGCACATTATCGGAATCGACATCAGTTTTAAGTTTTATATTTTTTCATGCATTTCTTGAATAAAAGCTTGGTTTCTTTTCGTATATTTCTTAATTAACTTTATTTGCCTGAATTTTTATTTCCTCTTGTTAACTTCTGATAACTTTTAATAATACTTTTATTTCACTTAACAATTGTTTTAAAAATATTTAATTAATTTTCTGTAATTCCTGACAAAAACTGTTTACAGTTCATTATTACTTATTTATCTCTCCTTCATCATGTGTGGCTGCCCCATGCATGCACATAACCATGCTGGACACTACATTAGCTTCCCTAGATGTCCCAGTTCCCAAAGTGGCATATTCAATTTTCAACTGGTTTGGTTGTAACAAAGTTTTTACCTTGTTATTTGAACACCTCTTATATTTCCATTTTTTCTTATGTTAAACATGCAAACTGCTGCATAAGATCAGGTTTTGGTATTTATCCAATACATAACATGCAGATCTTCACAGATAGCTTTCTTCAGGTCCCTGATAAAATTTTCATGTTCATCTTGCCAGTTTTATTACATTCATTGCCATTCTGCTTGTTGATTTCATTATCAGTGTTGGCTAAGTCAGTAGAAAAAGGAACGTATTAGAATAATCCTTAAATGCCTGAAACTTTCATATTTGTTTTAAGAGGTTCCAAATATTGAATAGACTGAACTTTCTGCAAATCATGAGCATGTTGAAGAAACAAAAGGTACATGCAGTTAAAAAATTTAAAAAAATTACAAAATAACATACATTAAATATACTGAAACTACATTTAAACATTTGTAAGATAAGAACTAAAGAAGGATCTGCATTACAACATGGTCTTGTTGCAATTTCTGAACCTGCTCTAATTTTAAAACTGTTTTTTTTTTTTTTTTTTTTTCTCTAAGGTTTGTTGATGATTTTAGTTTTGTCTTGTTTGGTTATCAAGTTTTGATTTTTCAAGGCTAT